AATTCGACGCGACACCCCCGTTTTTGCGTTTAACGCGATTTAACGGGGGTCGGGGGGCCGTTAAACGGATGAACGCGCGTTCAATTTTTCGCGTTATCCGTTAAAAAGATACACAGCTTCCCTTCCATGCATTCACACTGCGCACCAAAAAGTATGCTGCTATACATAGTCGCGGCGTACTCTGCCTATAAATGCAAAATAGGGAATTGAGAGAAAAAAAAAAAGTGAATGGCGTACTCTGCCTATAAATGCAAAATAGGGAATTGAGAGAAAAAAAAAAAGTGAATACAAGAAAGTGTCAAAGACAGGAATGCATTTATATATAATCTAACAGATCTGCCCGTCTCGGTTCCCCGTAGGCAGAGAGGGAGAAGAAGACAACAAACGAGGGGCTGTGGCAAACTGTTTCGTCGGAGTTTCACCGACTCATCAGGAGGCTATATATATATGTATAACCCAGCCCATGTGGATAAATGAAAACAGCACATATCAGTTCATGAAGTTATATCAACACACAGAGAGAGAGAGAGAGAGAGAGAGAGAGAGAGAGAGAGAGAGAGAGAGAGAGAGAGGTCGTGAATTGCATGAGTTGACCACGTGGTCACGGCCCTTCCAAGGCAGCCGAACAGATCACAAGATTCACAACTGAGAAGTAGCTTGGCTTGTTAACAGTCATGATTACGGTTCGCTGTGTTCAGGTGAAGATGGTAGTAGGGAGGCTCCTTTTGTTTGTTGGAACTTGGAAATAGTAGGGCGCTTTCACGAATGGGCTGCTGCTGCTGCTGCCAAAAAAAAAAAAAAAAAAAAAAAAAAAAAAAAAAAAAACCGAATGGGCCACTGCCCTTCCAAAGTATTCAAATTGATCAGACCCCTTAAAATTAGCTTGTAGGGCTTGTAGCCAGTCATCATTACGCTCCGCTGCGTTCAGCGGAAGTTGGTCGTAGACTCATAGGTGACTCTTTTTTTTTTCTTCTCTGGCACCCTTTCATGAACAAGTGGGTTTACCATGATGCCGTTTTCAAAACTCTCTCTCTCTCTCTCTCTCTCTCTCTCTCTCTCTCTCTCTCTCCACCCCTGCTGGCCCCTTCCTTTGCTGGACCCCCTGCATGGCTCTGGGGAATGATGTCAGGCACAAGTTCAGACAAACTGACTGTGTTTAGCATTTCTGATTGAATCTTACCGTCTTTGTGACCACATACATTCAGGAAAGTGCGAGTATGCACGAATTAGAAAAGGCCCTTGGCCTTCAACCGCACCCTACACCTCCTCATTGCCCTATGTCTTCAAAACCCCTGAATCTTGCCGTTTTCAATGCATGTGGCCGCGAAATCGGGAAGATTCAGGGCGTTTTCAAGGAATAGGGCGTTCTGAAGGGCATGGCGTGGCGTTCTTGGGAGCATGAACATGGCAGGAGTTTGTTGCACTTCACCGGTGCGCCAAACGTATGTATATACCTCCTGATGAGTCGGTGAAACTCGGACGAAACAGTTTGTCACAGCCCCTCGTTTGTTGTCCTCTTCTCTCTCTCTGCCTACGGTTTACCGTAGGCAGTTCTATTTGATGATATATATATCGTCACAAACAGAACTGCCCGGTAAACCATAGGCAGAGAGAGAGAAGAGGACAACAAACGAGGGGCTGTGACAAACTGTTTCGTCGGAGTTTCATATACATATATATATATATATATAATCAAATATATAATCAAACAGAGCTGCCCGGTAAACCGTAGGCAGAGAGGGATATATATATATATATATATATATATATTGTCACAGCCCCTCATTTGTTGTCCTCTTCTCCCTCTCTGCCTACGGTTTACCGGGCAGTTCTATTTGACGATATATATATAATATATATATATATTCTCTCTCTCTGCCTACGGTTTACCGGGCAGTTCTGTTTGTGACGATATATATATATATATAGGGTTCTGCATCCGGATGAGCTGGTGAAACTCCGATGAAACAGTCCGTCACAGTCCCCCGTTCGTCCCCCTTTCCGCACTTTCTGCCTACGCTTCGGTGAGCGATAGGCAGAGAGGGAGAGGAGGACAAGAGGCAGGGGGCTGTGACCAACTGTTTCGCTGGACTTTCACTGACTTCTCCAGAAGCCGAGACCCTCTGCGGTCTGCAAAGGGCCATAACCCTATTAACCGATGCTACTGTAAGCGGTGGAGTAGGTACTCCACCTTAACCCCAGTTGCAGTTACTTCCTGACAACTGATACCCCTCTGAGGAGGTGGGGACCACCAACCACTGCCCTGGAGGTACCTGCAACGGAAATCAGATCAGACTATCACTCACTAACACCAGAGGAAGACTCTAAAACACCCACAGGACAAAGAATGGCGTGCCATATGGGCTGCGTGCTGTAACTGCTGCCGTAGCTGGCAGAGCTTTGCTTTGCACAGCAGATGGTTATCGCAGTCACCTACCACTTGATTGTTGACCTTTCTACTTCCCTTCTCTCTCTCTCTCTCTCCATCCTTCCTACTTCCCTTCTCTCTCTCTCTCACACACTTCTCTTTCTCAGCCCCCCCTCCTCTCTCTCTCCCTCTCTCTCCCTCTCACACACTTCTCTTTCTCAGTCCCCCCTCCTCTCTCTCCGCTTCTCTCCCTCTCTCTCTCCGCTTCTCTCTCTCCACTTCTCTCGGCACCCCCTCCTCTCCCTCTCTCTCTCTCACCCCCCCCACCTCTCCTTGTGTCTATCTCTGTCTGAGCATGCATGCACACGCTTCCACGTGCATGCATGTGAATGTTGGTATGTGGCTGGCTTTGGAGCCAAACACTCGTACACCATATGCTGAAGGTGCGAGTGTGTTGGCTTCAAAGCCAGCCACATACCAACAGCCACATGCATGCACGTCGAAGCGTGCATGCATGCTCAGACAGAGATAGACACAAGGGAAGCAAGAGAGAGAGAGAGAGAGAGAGAGAGAGAGAGAGAGAGAGAGAGAGAGAGAGAGAGAGAGAGAGAGAGAGAGAGAGAGAGAGAGAGTAACAATGGGAGGTCAGGGTTTTCACACAAAGGAATCGAAGGATTGAAAAAAAATTAAAAAAATTGATGATTGTTGCCAGTGAAAGGGCATGGGACCATGGGACCATGGGTGATATAGATAGATGTAACTGAATGAATGCGACAACGATGAGTAGGCCATTGCTGGCATCGAATGAAGAAATGCTAGCAGAAGTTGCAGAGCACAGAAACATGTGCCCTACTATGCACCCTCGCCACAGCTCATTGGGCATGTATGTCTGTCTGTCTGTCTGCTTGTCTAGAAATCAAACCCTCTCTCAAAAGAGTAATATACCTGAGGGAGGGTTCACTCTGAATCATCATACCTCTCTCAACATAAGCCACCCATCTCGGGGCGCCAATCAAGATATAACGGCGCAGAATCGGTGGCCGGGCTTTCTTGACAGTGAAGAAGAAGAAGAAGAAAAAGCTCTGGAGTTAACCAATCTCAGGCAAAGGAACGGTATAACGGCGAGAAGCTGAAATGTTGAAAACAGACCCCCTTAGGCTTCCCTGAAAGGGGGGATGAATCAGCAAGGCAGGAAGGAGGAGGAGGAGGGGTGGAGGATGGTAGGTGGTAGGAAGAATGAGCATATTTATTATTTAATTATTGTAATTATTTATTCACTAAAGCATCGCATAAATATACCAAACCCCCTTGGGCTTCCCTGGCTCTGCTGGCCTCCCTTGACGATTTCTACGCGATACGACACTCCTTCCCCATTGCAAACCTGATGTGTATGGCTGCAGAATCAGACAAACAGAACCACAAACAAACAGGTAAACAGAGGGGGGGGGGGGGAAGACAGAAAAAAAGACAGAAAAAAAGACAGAAAAAAAGACAGAAAAAAAGACAGAAAAAAAGACAGAGAAAAGATGCAGAAAAAAACAGACAGTAAAAAACAAGAAAAAACAAACGAAAAATAGAGAGGATAAACAGGCAGAAAAAAACAGACAGGAAAAACAGAGAAGGAAAAACAGAGCAAAGAAACGGACAGGAAGAGACAAAAAAAGAAAAGCAGACTTAAGAAAAAAAAAATCAGACTAAAAAAAAAAAGCAGACTAAAAAAAACAGTCAAAAAAACAAACAGAAACCAAAAAGAAGCAGCCAAAAGAAACAGACAAAGAAAAAGCAGAAAAAAAACAGGCAGGAAGAGACAGGGAGGTAACCCCCAAAACAGAGGATAGCAGATGGGAGGCGGTCAGTCAGGCAGGCAGGCAGACCGACAGTGAGGCAGCCAGACAAACAGCCACACACACTAGCAAACAGAAGACACGCACACAGAATGACACAGCAGCAAAATTAAGAGATTGTTAGAAATGCCAATCCACACCGATACCGCCACAC